CGGTTGATATCCATCCGGTCCTGGCGCCTTAAACTTCCCCATGCTCCGAATTGCCACAACAACCTCATCAGATGTGAAAACCTTGTCTAAATCCCTCTTCTCCTCCCTAGACAGCCTCGGGAACCCCTCTTTCGATAACTCCCCCCTCACTTCGCTAACATCATCCAGCGAATAAAGCTTCCTGTAATAATCCAGAGCTAACGTCTCCAGCTCCCCTTTATCAGCAACCCATCTATCTTCCGCATCCTTTAACAACTCTATCCGATTTCTCCTTCTTCGAATAATAGTAGAAGTATGAAAATAGGTCGTATTTCTGTCTCCCAGAGCAATAAACTTTTCTCGTGATTTCTGAAACCACAAAGTCTCCTCCTGTTCAAGCAGAGTATCTAAATTCTTCACCAGTAGTTCCTCCTTAGCAAGCAGATCATCAGACGGAGCCACATCTAACAAATCCTGTACTGCTTTTATTTCCTCAACCAACTTTTCCTTACGCGTGTGGATATCACCAAACACCTGCTTATTCCATTTCTTGAGTTTCCACTTTAAACCTGCTAGTGCCTCAGGAGTTGACAGCCTCACATCCCATGAAGTTGCCAATAAATCTTTAAATTCTTCATGACTAAGCCAGGCTGCTTCAAACCGAAACGGTCTTCGACTCGCATCCACACTCTGTGGCGGACATAATTGCAGATACAAAGGCGCGTGGTCCGAAGAAAGGAAAGGAAGATGTGACACTATTGCCTCTTGCCACCGCAGTCTAGCATGAGCACAACAAAACACCCTGTCCAATCTCTTGGCCACACATGTACTTTCCTGTCTACCTCTCCTCCATGTGAACCTGTTCCCTTTAAAACCCAAATCAATGAGAGAAAGAGCATTAATCCACTCACCAAATGACAAAGAATCTGCAGATAACCGTCCATTCCCTCCTGACCTCTCATCTAACCTCAAAATCGTGTTAAAATCCCCACCAATGACTAAAGGACCATCAATCCCACTTACTGCGTCCTTTAACTCATTCCATAACCCACTTCTTCTACTCACTGTTGGTGCTGCATATACTACCACCAAATGAATAGACTCTTCTCCATTTACTATTTTCGCATGAATGAATTGGTGCGTGGATGCCACTACCTCTACTTCCCCAACGCTTGACCTCCACAACAGCCACAAGCCTCCACTCTGTCCCACGGCATCAACTCGAAACTGGTTTTCAAACCCCAATCTCCGACAAATCCTGCCTGCTCTCTCTCCTCCAGCATGCGTCTCAAACAAAGCAAGAATATCAGTATCATACTTTTTCAACATATAACGGATTGACCTTCGAAAATTGGGTTTATTCGCCCCCCGGCAATTCCATAACAAACAATTCATGATAAAATTCTGAAAATCACAAAGAACTGCCAGGGATAAATATTATTTAGCCCCACTAACGCCCTCAGTGGTCATTATCCTCTCTTGGAGAACAATTTCCATTGAAGAATTACCCCCTGCTGGGTTTGTACCACCCACAATCCCCACAGATTCCACGATTTGCCGCGAGGTAGACTTCTCTATGTTCTCAGCACCATTCGTGTATACTCCACCTGCTCTCCCCGCACTCACAGTCTCCACTCTAAGGCGTTTACCCGGAGATATCCCATCAGATTCACCTCTTATTGGGCCAAACACCAAACCTCTCCCAGGAGCAGAAGATCTCATGTTTTTACCTCTCACTACCTGGTGCTTCCCTGATTTACTAGCTCCTGATTTCTTCTCCTGATCCCCTGCACGAAAACCACCATTCCCAACAACTCCCTTTCCCACATTAGACTTGCTCTGAATCTGAGCCACCCCTTGATTCTGGTTCACCAGCATCTGTGAGCCTTCGTTCTCCTTATTATCCTCTCTCATAGTGTTATTCTGTTGCTCCTCACTTACAACAGTTTCCTCCATTAACCCACCAAAAATGTTTGAAACTGCCAGCGTTTCTGAACCTCCTAGCATCATCCTCTCTCCACTTTCCACTTCCGGGGCTTTTTTAGAACCTCCAGCCTCAAAAACCACTTGTGTTACTTGCCCTCGGCTCCGAGACCGTCTCACCTCTGTAAACCCGTCTTCATCTTGGTATTCGCACTCTGGCCTTTCTCTTGCACCTGTGAGATCATCTGGGGAACCTGAGACAAAGTTCCTTTTGGACAAGCACTAACCACATGACCATAGATACCACATCGAGGACATATGTTCTGTAGCCCCTCATAGGCGACATAATACCGCTCCCCGTTGATCCGCAGCGTCCCCTTCAACGGCCTCTTCAAATTCACTTCGACACATATCCGGGCAAATCTTGCTCTCTCCACCCGAAGCGTTGTTGTATCCACCTTAAGAGGCTTCCCAAGACCTTCTGCAATTCCCATCAAAATTGCTTTGTGATAAAAATTGATTGGGAGATTCGACACTCTCACCCACACCGGCGTAGTCTCAATCTCGTCTCTCAATGGGTCAAAATCTGGTGACCAGGCCTGAACCATCAAGATACTCCCAAGAACCCTCCACGGACCGCCTGTCACTGCCTTCATATAGTCTTCTTCATAGAGATTTGTTTAAGCTAATTACGAAATTTACCAATTATTCACATAATCAAATATGTTATGAACATATATCTGGTATATAATAATACCAAATTCAATCCGTGTGTGGAGTCTATATTTTCATTTTACAATCCCTATGAAAATATTACGGCATAATCTATTATTTATTATTTTCAAAATTGCTTGCCGAATCAAATTTTCAAATATTTAGAAGTGTCAAACCTTATATAACTCATCTCATCATAAAATCTTAAAATATCGTATGTTATAAAGATCATAACTTTCTACCATATAATACATTACATTTAACCCGCCGCCTACTATAAATATTTTAAACATATCTTTTTAGAAAACCAAATTAATGTATTTATAAATTTTTTTATCTTTTTATTCTATTAAATATTTATGATATTCTTTAATATATTAAATTAAAATCTTTAAATTTTTTTACTGTAGTATGTAAAATTATGAATTTTTAAAAAAATGATATGAAATTAAATATAAATATACTAATAGTTATAAGGATCATAACTCATTTCATCATATAATATATTATATTCAACCCGCCGTCTATTATAAATATTTGTTTCAAAAAATCAAATTAGAGTATTTATACTTCATAAATTTTTGATCTATTAAGTATTGATGATATTTAAAAAAAGGAATATATTACTCAAATATGATTTTTTTGACCAGTTAAATTTGTTCTTTCATACATTGAATAATTTATATTCATTTTAGAAAATTCAAATCTTGGTATATGCGGAAAAAAATTTACTTTTTTTTTTTATTATATAAATGATATAATGATTTATTTATTTATAGAAATAGAATCATATAAAGATGAGAGGTGAAGTATAATAATTAATAACAAATTAATATGGTAAGTTAGATATCAAATCTTATATGTTCATTTTGATTGGTCATTCTTTTTAAAGAAATTAATAATAGATTTTCGTTTTTATAATTAAATTAAATTAATTAAATTGCATAAAATAGTATTTGAATTAATTTACTCTATAAAATTTTATTTCTAATGGTATTCTTAAGTAAATTCTTACAAAGGAGAAGGTTAATTAAGGGTAATTGTAAATTGTACTCCCCAAATGATAGTATAGGATTGGTTCTAGAAATCATGATTAAAACACACATGATGACAGTTTCGGCTTTATATGAACAAGACACTGATAATCATCAAAAATAAAGAAAACAATCAAAGGGTAAAAATGGTTGGATTTTTTTATATAATAACATTTAGATTTTCGGGAAATCACTTTTTTAACCCTCCAAAGACTTCTACTAACACTAGTTTTACTAACGCTTTAAACCTTCAAACTAGTTTTTCTATTCGCACCGCCATAGAAAATAACAAAAAATTAATGTATGTTTGTGTAATATTATTTTTTTTAATTTTTAATTAATTTTCCTATTTATAAAAATTTTACGATTAATAAAAAAGGTTAAAAACAAACTTCATCATCTTCGACTACTCACCGTCAGACCACAAAATTTTCAGATTTGTATTCAGTTCATTGTATGTGTTCACCCTCTTTTGACTGCAATTAGTATTATGAGATCCCAATTTATCCACTAGAGAGAGTGAAAATGCTTCTGAATCAATCTCCCAATAGATTCCTCTGATACAGAGAATACTTCATTTTCCGGGTATGATTCGTCATTCCTTGGTTTTTTTAATTCTATTTTAAGCTTCTCTCGTACCTCAGATTCTATAGTAGTATATATTTGGATTTATATTATGCTACTTTAAATTTCTCTTGTGCTTCAGTTTCTAGTTTCAAAATTTTATTATGAAATTTTAAGGTCTGACGGTGAGTAAAAGAGGAAGATGAAGTTTTTTTTTGGTTTTTAAAGATTTTTAATTTTTTATTAATTGTAAAAAATAGTAAAATTAATTTTAATTTAAATTAAACTAAATAAATTTATATTGAATAAACATAAATTAATTGTTTTGTTATTTTTTATGGCGGTGCAAACAAAAAGGTAGTTTGGAGGTTTAAAGTGTTAGTAAAAATTATCTTTGTGGTTTATAGTGTTAGTGGAATTCTTTCGAGGTTTAAAGTGTTACCCAATGACACATTGAGGGTTAAAAATGTGATTTTCCCGTTTTAAATCTCTATGTTCCTCTTCTTTATTGGATTTTTAGATTTGAACATTATTCTCACATTTTGGATCAAGATCTTTAATATTCCATGCCAATTAGTGAATGATTCCATCATATTCAAGATTAGTGGTTAGTCTTTAATTTCTAGTATAATCTTGGGGTATGATAATTTAATAGTTAGATTAATGTTGTTGTTAATGATAGATTCACCTTCATCTTTATAATCTTATGTCTTAATCCTAATCTTATTTCGGATCAAAACGTCTCTTATGGCTTGCTTCATCTTACTGAAACCGTGGAGGTTTTGAGAAGCTCTAAATAAAGAAATCATTTATTGGATACATATGGTGTTACACACATTTTTTGAACTGCATAAAGCCATTTTTATCGATTTTGCCAATATTAATTAAGATGTCAAATATAGATTCCTTCTTTATCGGTGTTCCATCAAATAATCTCTCAGCTTTTCTTTCTCTCTCTCTTTCTCTTGCCAAAACTCAAAAATCTATTCCCCATTGAATCAAACAAACTAAATCTTTTATCAGTTTATTACTAAACATATAGGAAAAGTCTAACAATCTCACCTAACCATTTTTTCCAATAGAAGAAGATCAACATTTTGGCAAACTTCTTATGCAAGAAAATAAGGGCAAAGTGTTTTTCATTCTTTTAGGTTATTAGGTTTTTACTTTGAACCCATTGAGGTTTGTAATAAAGATGTTATCATTTCGAATCCCGTCTATCGGAGGCCAACCTACGGCATTTGCTGCAAAAATAACAGACAATCCAAAGACCGTGGCACAACTCAAGTCGGCTGCAACACCTTCACCTCATAGTACCGTCACGTGCGGTTACCAAGCTCATGTGGCAGGCTTCTTTCGAAACGTCACCGTTTTATGGTCCAAGAATCTCATGAATCATTCCCTCACCGTAATGGTCTCGAGTTTAGACAATGACATGAATTATTGTTGTAAGATTGATCTCGTGAAGCCATGGCAGTTTTGGAGCAAAAGAGGCTCAAAAGCATTCGACGTAGAGGGAAACTTTGTGGAGGTCTTTTGGGATCTTCGATCGGCAAAATTGGCTGGAAACGGTAGTCCGGAACCCGTGTCAGACTATTACGTGGCAGTAGTTTCTGATGAAGAGGTTGTTTTATTGTTGGGAGATTTAAAGCAAAAGGCTTACAAGAGGACGAAGTCAAGACCGGCATTGGTGGAAGGGTTCATATATTTTAAGAAAGAAAGCATTTTTGGGAAGAAAACGTTTTCTACTCGGGCGAGATTTGATGAGCAAAAAAAAGAACATGAAGTGGTGGTGGAAAGCTCTAATGGAGCGGCGGATCCTGAGATGTGGATAAGCGTGGACGGGATCGTTGTCGTGCACGTGAAGAATCTACAATGGAAATTTAGGGGAAATCAAATGGTGTTGGTGGATAGAACGCCGGTAATGGTCTACTACGATGTTCATGATTGGTTGTTTGCAAGTTCAGAGACTGCGGCGACTTCAGGGTTGTTTTTGTTTAAGCCTGTTCCGGTTGGAGCGATGGTAGATGAGAGCTTTAGCGATGCGGAGGAAGGAGATAGCGGAGGAGGGAGTAGTCCTTTAAGTCGTTATAATTCAGCATCAAGTGGTTATGGACCGTTGCATGACTTTTGTTTGTTTCTTTATGCTTGGAAACTTGAATGAAGAATATTAATATCATAGTGTGTGCTTTTAAATTTAAATCTCTTTTGGTAAGTTGGAATAGAAATGAGGGTAAAGTTACCGTAAATATTAGGATATTTTATTTCAGTTTAGAACTCATGATTTTGAAATCCCATTTATAGGTGATTTTGATTTTGAAACTCCAATTGTAATCACACTAACATGATGGAAATTGAACTTAAATCCTTCAAATGTCAAAAAATAAAATCTTTCAAAAATGTTAGATATAGCAATGCAATTGAAGCAAAAAAAAATTAACAATTACCAAATCAATTTTACAAAAAAGATAAATTGACAATTTAGCCTATTTGGTACTTTGTTTGGTCCCAAATACCAACTAAACAGTTGTTTAGGAGTTAGGATCATAAGATATTTGCAGCAATTGCAAACAAAAATTTTATAGTGATAATTGGGTCAGAGACCATATATCAGATGTAAATTAGTTTTTTAGTAATCTGACCCAACGTCCAGAACAATGAAAATATTTAACCCTTCATCTTGCCAATTTTAACCCTACGCTCTTCTGATATTTGGACTCCGAATCAATCCATTGTGTGAGACAAATCCATTGACTTTTGTCGTTCTTGCAATGAAAAAGTGTGTTATATCTAACTAATTATTATAACTATCCAATTCTTGGATGTCTACTTTCTCTCTTGTTCATCATCCCGCCTTTTCATTCTGTAAACCATAAGTCCCATCCGCCTTTAACATCTTTGGTAGCTGTTCAACCGCACTCCGACAAAGCAGAAATATAGACTTTCTTCCTTTCCTAAATGCGGCGCCGAAGAAATTATCATCATTGAAACAGTAAGTCAACGGGTGTAGCGTGCATACAAATATACAAATGTTAATAACGCTATAAATATATATATATATATATATACGAATGTTAAAAGCGCTCTATATACGTGTTTACATATATATAAATGTTAATAACGCTCCACGTACGTATTTACAATTATACAAATGTTAATAACGCTCCATGTACGTGTTTACATGTATATAAATGCTAATAACGCTCTATAAATATGTTTTTACATGTACACATAGACTGAATTGTTTAACACTATAAATATTTATAACGCTCTATGTATGTGTTTAGATGTATACAAATGTCCAAGTCGTGTAAAATATACATTGGGTGTCCATGCAACTAGGTTAATTATTTAAAAAATTCGAAGAACTATTTATTAGGTGTTCATGCAACTATGTTACATGTTTACATTTTTTGATTTCCGTCTAAAATTGTTTTCGTTACCAATTCAAATGAGATAAAGTTCAAATAAAGTCATTTGCATTTAATAACAGAGTACTTGCCAGTTATGCCACAAATTGGGGAAAAAATAATCTGGTGTACCACTTATTAATCTGAATATCACTCTTAATGTGATATTTCATGTTTACCCTTAATGATATATGTTAATAAATTTAATTCAAATCAAATTAAAACAAAAAGCAAATAAAAATAAATAAATCTAAGCCATCCCATGTGGGATAAAATAGTCCACATATGAAAACTGGTCCCACATATGATAAAGTGAGCCAAACAAAATAAAAAATTTGTATGTTATATAACCATAGTTCCTATATGTACAGTTGTACTTTTATCTTCATAATTGTACTTTAACAATTTTTGTGTATTTGTAGTTGGACCTTGATATAAATTATTATGTTATAGTTGGTCACATGAGTTTTTACTATTAATTATCATTTTTTTTTTTGTCAACATTTGGGCCACAACTGGCCGGCCCATTAGCCTAGTTTCTACAATTAAATTGTAGAGTCGGAGACTCGATCCCTGGTGTGATGGTGTCTGTCTTCTGTGGACTTATCATTTGCCACTAGACCAAGATCACTTCACTACTATTAATTATCATTTAAGAAGTTTATTTAATATCATTTGCACGAACCTTATATCCTAATATATATTCTTATTTTCACATAAAACATTCTTTATATTATAAGGAAGACTTTGTAGGTGGTCACCCTCTTATGATGCAAAAGAAGTGAAACTTTGATTTCGTGCAAATTATATTGTGAAAACCTCTTAAATAATAATTAAAATGGGAAATTATATGAGCAACTTTAACATAATAATTTATATTTAGGTCCAACTAAAAGTAAACAAAAATAACCAAAATACAACTGTGAGGTTGAACGTACAACTGTACATTTACGGACAACTATGAATATTTTCCACCGCCAAAAGTCTACTTTATTAATTTTCTGCCGCCAAATATCCACTTTACCACACGTGAAATGAATTTAATTCTTTTTAAAATTTTAAATATTTTTAACTGCGGTGGTTTTTGGTTTTTCTAGTTCAGAAATTTAATCTCGATATAGCTATATACTCCCTCTGTTCCTAGAAGATTGATTTTCTAGAGATTTCACATTTCTTAAGAAACAATCATTGTTTAATTATTTACTTTTATTAAATATTTTTTAATAAACTATGAACCAATAGTAATCTGAAACAGTTAATCATTACGTCTTGAAATCTACGATTTATTAAAATCAATTAATTAAAAAAAAAAACAAAATCTAGAAAATCAATCTTTGTGGAACAAACTCAAAACACTAGAACATCAAACTTCAAGGAACAGAGGGAGCATATATTAGTGAAGCGAAAATGTAGAACGAATGCAGCTTGGTATTGTGGTCTAGGGTCCTTGACCTTGTTTCGCGAGAACGTGGTATCTCGACGCTCGAGATACCCAATTTTTGTTATTTTTCTCTCTATTTTTAGTTAATCGTAAATTTACCAAAATGTCATTGTCTCCTTTCTTTTGTCTTGCGACATCAAAGCCTTAGTTTTTGCTGGTTTTTAATTTTTTCAGGATTTCATCATTTTTTCATGTTTTTATTGTAGTTTTAGACCAAATTATGATAGATCTTTGAGGTAATTATGGATTTCTAACTTAGATAGAAACAAAACGTGATTTCATTTTTGAAACTTCGATCTAATTTGAGCAACCGCCGACGCTTTGCCGATGACTAATCGGTCGTTTACCCCACGTTTTCAAACAAATCTATAATCCTAGTTGTATCAAAATCTAATTTTATTTTTGATCGAATTCATCAACTTTGGAAATTAGGCTAATTTTGAGGAGTTTGGATCGGGTTACCATTTTTGTTGGGTTTGGCGGATACATCAGGTTGGGTTAGTGATGTAGGTTTTTTTGCAAGGATTTTTGGACATTTCCTATTGATTATGACTTCAAAAAAAAATTGAAAACATAAAAGGGCATAAGTGAACACCTTTTCTTGTTTGTGGCATAACAGATAAAAATCCTTAATAATTATCACCTCGTTACTTCTGTCTACTGCTGAACATTTACTAATGTCAGGTTGTACTTTCCATGTCTTAAAAGTCAAAAGCATCTCTCCACGCGCAGAGACAAATCTGGTGATGGTTTTTCCCTTATTAAGCTGAACTCCAAACCCATTTATTTAATTTATTTACTTTTCTTGAAGACCAAAAATCTATATTGTTGAATACCTAATTTCATGTTCTATTTTTGTCTATGCACAAATTCACATAATTTTATATTGGTTATGGAGTTGATGATGTTGACCTTTTGCATTATGTTTTTTGTCAAGTCATTTGGGTCAGTTATCTGGCTCCTCGATTTTTTTGGGTTACGACAATTGCTGCAAATAAAACTTTTTTAAAAATAGTTTATTTCGTTCAATAGCCAGTTAGTTCGGTTCGGTTACTTGTGATTTAATAACCACGAATTTAATAATAACTTTGTTAATTGATTAACCAAAATTTTATTTGGTTAGTTTCTTATGGATACTAGATTTTAACTCGCAGTAAACCGCGGGATAAATTATTTTTTAAAGTTAGTATATATAAAATTTTGCAAATTGTATCTACTTATAAAATATTAATATTTTATAATTTACAATTGTTATTAAGTAACGGTATACCACGAGTCCACGAGACAATTGTTAATAAACTGAGATTTAAACCGTATTAAAGCGGCATGTTAATGATATTTTAAATTTTATAAATATTGATTTAAACCTGTTCTGAAATATAACCAGTCCTGTAATTCTTTAATCTGTCCCGTAATTTGTTTTCTAAAAGTAGTGATTTTAAAATTTAATGATTATTTATTAAAGAAATTACCTCTTATAGCCCCAAATCAAGTTTTTGGAACAAAAACAACACTCAAAAGTTTATTAGACAAAAATTGCACCTTATTTTTGATTATTTAAATTAATAAATAATTATAAATAAATACAAAAAATCACAAATTCATTGTTAATATTTTTCCGCCAAAAAAAATCCCATCAAAATTTTCCCGCTAAAAAAATTTCCGCTACCGGAAAAAAAATTTCGTCAAAATTTTCCCGCCAAAAATATTTTCGTCCGTTTTTTCCTGCCTGAAAAAAATCCAAAAGATTCAGGAAGGATTCCACAAAATTTAGGAAGGATTTTACGTTATTTAGGAACTATTTCACGAATTGTGAAACCCTTCCTGAATTACGTGGAATCTTTCCTGAAATTCATGAATTCATGAATCCTTCCTGAATTCGTTGAATCTTTCCTGAATTTCGTGCAATCCTTTAAGCAATCATTTTCTGAAATTCAAGGAATCCTTCCTGAATTTCATGAAATCCTTCCTGAATTTCGTAGATTTTTTTGGCGGAAAAATTTTTGACGGGATTTTTTTTTTGCTGGAAAATATTGAAAAGATTTTTGGCGGAAAAATATTTTACGTTGCAGAAATGTTTTGGCGGGAAAAATAAATTTTGGCGGGAAATTTCCAATTTTTTTATTTATTTATTTTAATTAAACTAATTATTCTTATTTTAATATTTAATTAAAGTTTATAGTGCTATTTGTGGAACTTTTCAAATGTATTGCTATTTTTGGAAGAAAAACTTATTTTAGTGTTATTTTTGTCAATCTCCCTTAATAATATTTTAATTTTAATTATTGTTGATTCAAAAACATGTCCCGCCAAACCCGTCCCACCAAAAACCCATTTATTTATTAATGTTGATCTTATTTATGATATGATTGTGAATCATTG